CAGGCACAAATCTTGTGAGCAGCCCAACTAATTTAGCGAATAAAGAACTTGATAGTTGTACCCTAGGTGGCAAAGGTATTGAGGTTTTTGTGACTCCACTGCATCCGAAGTTTCAGATGGGAGAAGGCAGGACTCTAGAAAGCTTGTCGTTTTGACATCGGGAGTGGATCTCCACGTGGGTCAGTGTTCTAAAAGCGCAGGGGTCAATTTGTGCTTGAGGTGCAAGGTGCAAGGTGCAAGGCAAGGCGCACGCCTTTTTAAGCAAGGTGCAAAAATTTTAAAGAAAAGGTAAAAATCAAAAAAATGCCAAAAATTCAAAAAAATGCAAAAAAAAAATCAAAAAAAAATATAAAACATAAACATAAAATGTAAAGCATATTCAAATGAGAATTTAAAAATGAAATCAAACATATAAAACATTTTCAAGCATATAAACCCACAATCTCTTTTTTTCTCAATTACATTACTTCAAGTAGCTAATGTCACATGTTAAATTCCTAATTCTACAAGCCGCCTTTGTGCCACGCCCCTCAAGGCAAGCCCAAACAAGTCCATGTAGGGTCTTAAATTCTTAGATTTCACACAAAAAATTATGATTTTATAGTTTTAATTGATTTTTAAGAAGATATTTTATTAGGATGAATGAATGGACAACATTACCAAATAGGGGGTTCTTGAATTTTCAAAAGGCACACGCCTGGGCTGAGGCACAAGGCACACCAGGCATGCGCCTTCTGAAAGGGCTGCGCCTAGGACCTGGGCAAGGCGTCTACCCTAAAATGCGCCTTGCCTGTGCGCCTAGGCATGCCTTTTAAATCACTGATGCGGGTTTACAAAGGCTAGAAGGGGGGAGAAGGATAGTGGGGAAGGACGTGTCTCTGTAGGTGACGCACATGAGAGAGATTGTGAGAATGAGGGGAAAGGGGAAACAAGTGATAGAGAAGGTGTGGGGAGTCTGGAAGGGAACTTGCATTGAGGATGATTTTAAATCCAAGGAGTTGATGAAAGATAGATTGGGTGACGATCTGGGCCATAGGAGCAAGCTTGATGAAAAGGAAGAGAAGCTGATAAGTGAGGCAATCAACAAGAAATCTTGTAGTTTGAAAAATCTTAGCGTAGTGCATGTGACGATGATATTCTCTAAGCTAAAACTTGGTCTAGCAGGGGCAGGCCCCACGAAAAACTACAAATGGGTTTACAAGAGGAAAAGATTAAGAGGCAGTAGGTCATCTGGTTCCGAAAACAGGGGGACAATGACGCAACACCAGCCTGTGTCCTCTCATTCAGGAAAGGAGCAATAGAAGGAGTCAAGGACAAAGTGAGTGTTGATGACTCTGCTTCTAGCAAGAGTGAGACAATGCAAAACAACAATGGCGTTGATAACAAGACAGGGTGTGGGACTCTTCAAAACGTGGTGAGTAGAGAGGTCACGATTAGAAAGAGCCTGGGTTTATTTTTCTGGGGTGCTGAGGAGTTTGCTAAGAGGGCCTTTGAGGAGATTGAAAGAAGGAAAAGGGAAGAGAAGTTGACAAAGAAACTCATCGGGAAGGGAACAAGCATTGGGACGAAGATGTTTCAAGCCAGGAGGATGAGCTTGCGGTGGAAAATTGAGCTTTGATCGTGGAGCAAAGAGGGTTTAAGTTTCTATTTAGAGGTGGGTTAGGATGCTTTTGCTCTTATGGGGATTTCTTGGTTTGTTTTCTTGGCTTGTGCTTGAGATTTTTTTGAGAAATGCTTTAAGTTTTGCCAGATTTGGTTTTATGGTTTTTAGTATGGAACTTTTGAGATCTTTGTTGGGTCCTTTGGATTTGTTTCCTCTCCGGGCGATGTCTCATCGCCTTCCGACTGTATTCTATTTTCTTTTTCTAATGAATTTTTACCTTATTCTTCAGAAAGTTGGGACGAGAGATGGGATCAAATTTTGGAAGGATGTGTGGAGTGAAGAGAAAGTGCTGATGGAGAGGTTCCCAGCACTGTACATCCTTGCACAAAATAGGGATATGCTAGATTGATAGATGCTTATGAAGTCCAAGATGGGATTTTATCCTGATGTTCAACCTTCAGAAGAAGCCTGAGTGGTTGGGAATTTGAGGACATGGCCTCCTTGTTCAGCCTGCTCCACAAAAATATGTCAAAGCCAGATCAACATGATGTTAGAGGTCGGAGTTGGGAGAAGACAGGGGAGTTCTCGGTTAAATCATTGTATAGAAAGTTGAATACTAGACAAATCCTGGCCTTCCCTCAAAAGGAAGTATGGCTACCCCACGTACCCTCTAAAGCGGGTTTTCCATTGTGGGCTGTAGTGTTGGACAGATGTCTAACCAGAGTGAACTTGTTCAGAAGATGAGTCATCATTCAGTTAGAGAGTAGTGTTCTTTGTGGGAGAGCCAGGGAGACCCCAAATCATCTATTTTTACATTGGACAGTGGTGAGTCAGGTCTATGCTTTACTTCTGTAACTTGCTGAATATCTCCAGGTGTTTCCCAGCACTATTCTCTGGTCACCTATTCTCTTGGAAACTCAAAGGCTTAAATGCAAGATGAAAAATACCATGGGGCACTACTTCAGCCATGGTATCTTGGCACATTTGAAAATAAAGGAACCAGAAAATATTCCAAAATAGGAGTTGCTCTTTGGAAGAGTTAATTAAAAAATAGCAGACCCCATTCATTCCTGGTTGGTGGCTACAGACCAGTTTTCTAGCTTGGATCAACAAAGATGTTTTGATACTGCCATGTTGCTTTTCTAAGGTTGGCAAGGAGAGTGCTGACAGAATATTTGTAAAGAGATACATCATTGTACATGTCTATACTTGTGCATGCCAGTTTTGATGAACGATTATAATACTTCATCTTTCTCTCAAAAACAAAATAAAATAAAGTAAACAAATGTGGCTCATATCAAAGTGTTTCAAGCACTTAACAATTCAAGCATGTGAAACTCTTAATGAATTTGCCTATCCCCTACATGCATTACTTCAAGTAGCTAGTGTGAAGTTAAACAAGGTTCATGTGGAAATTGCCAACAGGACACTTGCCTCAGACCTCTTTTGCACTGCAAGACCATGATAGCTCAACAGTAACCCGCAATTGCCAAAGAGACCGTCTTTTCTTCCTTATTCAAACATAAACATTTAACCCCCCCCTACCTTCAAAATCCCTCAAATACTCCTCAACATGAAATAGTTCTCATAAAGATTCTTTTGAATGAATAAGTGCAGCCTTAAGCCTTTACCAAACCATGACACCAAGGGGGCCTAGTTAGAGAACCTAGGCCAAATTTATGACGGTCTGACCTAGTCACCACCTCTTTGATCAAAAGAACTTCTCTCCTAGTCCACAACCTTTGCCCCATCTGAAAACATCACATATCCAAATCCATCAAATGCTGCTGGTTCGCAACCCCAAAACAACACTTCCTCATCAAAATCCATCTTGCCCAAAAGAAAAAATGAATTTGATTTCAAATCCAAGCCTCAAGAAGAAGCTGATGGGAACCCTCTCCGAGACTTAAAATTCTTCTGAGTCCAGATTGAGACAAATCCGCAATGCTGCTAACTTACCTATCACTATTTATGTCATACTGCCTCTCTGCCCTTCTACTTTGGAACTAAAGCCCCCACAACAAATAACACAACCATGAAAATGCCTGCTAGCTGGCGTGGTCAACCTTGAAAACCTTTGTATCCCACCAGTGATGGAACTAGGTTCAAAATTGTTGCCTCCCAGAGCTACATAATGAAATGAGAAGCACATAAGATCTCACATTGCCTCTCCCCTGGCCATTGTATGTCACCAGATAATCGCCACATAACATTGATTTATTTCCTTCAACCACTATTCAAGCCACAAACTCCACTCCTTGCACTTTGATCTTCACCAGATTTGGGACCTAACTCCACTCCAACCATTACACCATAGGGATCGGATGTTTTGGGGAACTACCAATGTAAGCTGAATAAGTCATAGTAAATATGGTGGTTAGGGTTAGATAGAAGATAGCCTATCTTTCAGGTTTCCCACTTGAAAAATCTTTATGTTTCTTTCCTTTTCCAATCTATTACCATCTTAAACAGTTGCAGCATTTGTAAGAGAAGGGGAATTAATTGATCACTTGTGCTTGCTTTGTCCCATTGAGTGATCCTTACACCACAAAAATTCTTCGGATGTCAGCATCCATGATGAAAGAGTTTTCTTTCAAACCATATATCAAGGCACAGCCCTTAAGCTGCTTTCATTTCTTAGCTTCTTTTGTATTAAATACTAACTGCCTGGAATATTTTTCAATGGGTTGCTAATGCCTCATCCATCCACTTCATATACAACTGCACTGTCAGATAATAAACAATTAAATAATGGCATCACGAAAAATGCATAACGTGACAAGTTTTTATACTAATAAGTCATTAGAGCATGTGTCTTCTTCAAATCATGAACTGTCAGACTATTTAACCATAACTAGTTAAATTACAAAACAATGTTTTTTTTCAATAACAAAAGATATTAAAAAGAAAATGACATACAACTAGGGATAAACCTGAATACAAAGAATGCAAGCTATACAACAGGTATGAGCCCTTTTCTTAAAAATCCCTATACAGTTTTATTTTTTTAATAAGCAATAGAAATTTAATTAGTTAAAGCAAAAGCAAATAAATTTACAATCACAACTTCCCAACTGGAGGCACAAGTTGCAGCCTCCAAAGCAAAAGATAAGTTACACCTGAGCCCAATACAAATGATCCCTACTAACCCCTTGCTTAGCTAAATAATCAGCCATCCCATTTGTGGATCTCCTTTCCCATTGGATTCTTACAATCATGTTTTTGGTCAGCCACTTAAATCTCTTTATAGCCTCCCTATACAGAATTATCCACAAGGACATCCAGAAATCTCCCTTGAGAGACACTCTATACATGCTCTCAAATTTCTTAAGAACCCAATCCAATCAAGGACATTATAAGAATTAAATATAATAATAAAATCATGTTTCCCACTAACCGGTTGAGCTTCAATTGGGATGCCGAGATAAGACTGTTCATTTGCTATACAAAGAACCACATTTTCTCGCTGGTTTCTAATGTTGTCTTTCTGCAAACAGAAAAATCAAACACAAAAGTGCATGATTAACCAAGAGCCACCCAATCAAAGATACACATGCATAATAACCAATATACAACATGACATTATAATTCTTTATCTGTTATAAGGACATTATAACTTAACGACCTATTCCAATGCATACTAATTCATTAGTTCATTAAAAATAAATGAACGTGGATTTCAGAGTACATTGGCAGTGAGAAATTCTGTTACATTGGATGGAGAAGCTAAGTGCTTTGACTAAAATTCGTTTGATCCTATAGAGAACAGAGTACATCTCAACAACCAGTAACAAAGCATTGAATCTGTTGTTCAGTTCATTGAAGTGTCCTATCTTTCTCATATGGAGAAAACCAAGTAGCAGGTTTTTTTTTTTTTTTGAGAAGTAAAAATTCATTAAAATTTCATTGAAATCAATGAGAATAAGCAACTGTTACAAGCATCCCAGAGGGAGGAGCGAGGTGCAGACTCTTAAAGAAAACACAGCACAAAAATTACAATTGAGCCCAAAACAACTGATCCCTAATTACCCATGCTTAGCTAAAGAATCAGCCAAAGCATTAGCCTCCCTCCCCACCCATTGTATAACCAGATTAATATGTTGTGTTAACCATTTGAACTTCTTCATTTCATCTCTGAACACCATATTACTGAATCCGGATCTTTTGGCCATCCTACCTCACCTTGGAGTCCCCTTCAATCATCAGATTCTCCATGCTCATCTCTTTGGCAATCTGAACACATTGTAGGACTGAGTACAGTTCAGCTTTTAAGGAGTCTCCACTCCTCACCAGTCCTGAATAAAGCGCTACTACATTCCCTTCCTTATCTCTTATGTCAATTTCAAAAGGACCTGGGTTGCCTTGATTGCCCCCATCAAAATTTAATTTCAGAAAACCTTCAATGACAGGTGCCCAAATCAACTGTTTCTTAGCCAATGTTCAGAGAACCGGACCGGGCATAGAACCGGAGAAGGGAGAGGTTCACGGGTTAGAGGTACAACCGGGGTCAAACTGGAGGTCGAACTGTGATGACATAATACTATATATAATATATTTACACCTTTTAATATGTTTAAATATGGTGGATGGGTGGCAAGTTCTTTAATTTTTGAAGTAAACGACTAGGGTTCAAGTCTTGTAATTTACATTTTCTTTAAAGTACATGCGTAATAAAGTAATATGTACAATAAAAAGTCATTATTTAACACAAGTAAAGAGGCGAATTAGTGGTAATTAAGCAATATACAAAAACAAGAAGTCATGTGTTTAAGTCTTGTTAATCACATTTTAAAATTTCAATTGTTTAAGGACCTGGGTGGTTTCATGAAACCAGGACCGGTTCGCCAGTTTTCGGTTAAACCGGCCGGTCATTCAGTTTTCACCGGTTTTTTAGCAAAAAACGGTTATTAGGGTATGACCAAATTGGCCAAGGCCCCAGGTCAATGTTTAACCAGACTGACCAGCCAGTCCAGTCCGATTTTCTAAACACTGATTTTAGCCTTCTGCACTGAACTATAAACCACTGAATACCAGCTCCTCCAAATATCATCAAAGGTGAGTTGTCTAAAGTCTAAATAAGTCCAAAGTTAGTAGCCAATGTATAACCCCAGTCACTACACAGTCCGTAGTTTGTTGCTTGCTTCTCTCCTCTTGGAGAGAAGCAATCTTCTTGAGCAGATGGTTCAAAATGCATCAGGGCCACTAATGTTGATTCTATTCAAACATTGCCTTTGGTCATGGATATAATGAGTCTAGTCAACCTCATTGTAGACACAAGAGCCCCACTCGATGTGCCCAGACATTGGAATTTGCTAAACCTAAGCCACAAGCTGCTCACTAGTTGTAATTCAGAATTACCTCTGACCTTTTTAGGTTTAATGAAGGTCCTCCCCCATGTTAATTGTACTAGTAGTAGTGGACTAACCCACCTACAACTTGATTAAATATAACATAAATGTGTTACACTTAGCCTGTTTTATGTAGGGCTGCAGCAAAGATCCAATTGGATCTAGGGGTCTCAATCAAATTCACATTTACTCCGAGCCTGCCCCATTATTTTAAAATAAAAATAATAAGTTAATCATTTTTAACTTGTACATATAGAATATAATTGCATAAATATATAAATGAATTATGAATTATGAATTATATATATAATCCATGTATATGTGTGTATATGAAATTTAATTGGATTGGATAGGGTCAAATCTGACAAATCTGAATATGTAAACAGATTATCTGAATCCAAAATAATCAGATCAGGTGCTGCATTTTTGGACTCCATTAATATCCATTGTTGTGTGTGGTGGACTGGTGGGTGGGGATTATACATTTCAGTATACTGGGTTTGGGTAGGTTGGAATTGGGATTGTTTTCTCGGATGTACCTGAGGGTCTGGAGTTCAATCACCCCCCCCCCTTCTGGTTTATGCGTACTTAAATTGTATATTTTAATAAAATTTAACATAGCAACCACTTCACCTGGAGTAAATTAGGCGATTAAAAGAAGGGAGGAATTGCATTGGCAATTCAGTGTCTGCATCTCATGGTGCAGCAGACAGATCCCTTGTTTCAATATCAGAGAATTATTACCAGGCACTAAGATACCTAAAAAATGCATAGCTATACTATCAGTATGCACCAAGCAGACATGATACAGCCTTAATACAGCCACACCACATCAACCACTACTTAAATTAATGTCAGACAAATAATTAACAACAATATACATCAATGTGTCAAGTACATAGGTTAAAAAAATCTTATAATGAAGTTGTATACAAACCTGAAAACCAAAAGCATACTCCAAAAGATCAAACATATCCAGATTTCGCAAAGCAGGAACCTCAAAATCCTCAGGAATCTTAGGAAAATGTTCAGGATATCTTAGTGCATATATCGCAGCTCTAACCTGAATCAATTATCATTAACAAACAGTCAACTTGATGCTAAAAGTTTTTTTATCAGCAACAGAAAACGGAATTTTATTAAAGAAAAGATATAGCAGTACAACATGATGCTAAAAGTTGTGATTTAGGTAAACATTCATTTCTGGGAAAGAAGCAAATAAAGTGTAGTGTCAAATTGAAACCTATACAAGCATATCAGGAAGAAGCTCATATGAATGCTGAGAACTGGTTAATCATGATTATTGGCTAATGTCTATATTTTTTAACATAGGATGTGCAATACATCAAGCAAATGTGAAGTGTTAAATAAACTTGAGGTATATCAATGACAAGATTGGGCTTACTTCTGGGAAGACTCCAATCGCATTGGTTAAAGATGGTGCATCTAAAGGTACTATATTGTAAGGTGTAAGTTCTCCAGACAATGCAGCACCTGATTTCTTTATCCTTCTTAACTGAAAAAATGGCAAGGTAATCATCAAGTTAGTTGTGGTTTCCAATCAATAATTCATGTCATAAAAATCATTATCTAAAAATAATAAAAATCAATGACTCAGACCATAATGAGTGTATAGATAATAATTAAACACTATAGCCCTAATGGGGAATCTTCTGTAGAAAACAAAAACAAAATTGCCCAGAAAGAATTTACTAATTGTAATGGATGATAAACTGAGAACCAAATTATTACAAGATAATGGATACATCTCAAAGCTCATTTTTGGCAGCACATCAATTCTATTTAGCAAACACTATCCACTTGCATTTGTTTTCTATCAATAACTAAAATGATTTCTTAAATGAAGGTACTATATATTAGTATAACAGAAAATAAGATGTCTCAGGATAGAGTTTCAGGGACTGTTTTCTATACAATTCAAAACAGGCACCATAACAGTGATGAAACATGGAGGTGGTGGATACAGATACTATTAAAAGAAAAAAAAAAAAAAAAAAACAGAAAGGATACAAGGAAGGTGAGCAGAGATCACCTGAAAGAGAGAGAGAGAGAGAGAACTCCAAATCCAACAACCCTTCCTGACACAAGCACAAACAACAAGAAAAGGCAAAAAAAAACAACTCTCAACCCAAAAAAACTAATACAAGCAGCCAAACTAGCTCAAAACTAGTAGCTTCTAGACACCCATAACCCTAGTACCCAAAAAGCGCCAATGAGCCAAAGAAGCCACCAACACCTAGAAAACCAGTCTAGGAACTTTGTACTTCTTGCTTGCAACACCAAAGGGGTGTATGAAGATTCCCCCTTTTTCCTTTTTTGATGAGCAAGAAGATTCTATCTTTCCCTTTTATTTTGATTGGTAACCTTGCTTCTTTCCTTCCAGCTCCCAGTCTTATTAATCCACATGGTAAAGAATGGAGGTTAAGGGTGATTTCAAGGTGCGTATTGTGTGGATGCTTCAGGGGCCATTGCTTGCTATAATGGTGAAGTCTTGGGCAGAAAAGCATGAGAAAGCGGGTTTGAGTCTGAGAGAAGTGACTTTGTGACAAAGGTTAGGTCTGTATCCAGTCCACCCTACTCAAGACCCTAGATAGCTGGGAGCAAATTTGGGTAATGACCTTTTTAGGGTAAATCTATGATGCAAGAAAGGTATAATTCCAGAAGAACTTTGATCAATCAAAACTCCCTCTGAATTTTGATGAAAGCCAACTGATTGACTACAACTTTTATGATACCAGTTGATTGGTTATAAGCTTTTTGAGATATCATGCCTTTCCAGTATCATAGTCAGGCCCATCTTTTTGTTATGTGGCTGCTTTGAGATTTTTGGGTCATTTGGTCCTTCCAAAATCATATCAAGGAAGTAAAGAAACATGGCATCTGAACTGAAATATCATTCAGATGGATCCCATGGTAAACTAATTCTCTGGAATGGCTACTTAGTTGGGATTGGAGTTGAGATGGCTGATCAATGCCACTCGACTATCCTTGAGTGATCTCTCTTTTGTCTGTTTTCTCAGCTTTTGCTTCTGTGCCTTGGGGGCCTCACTTCTGTTAGGACACCTTTTGTTTTATATTTTCTCCCTTGTTGATTCATGCATTCTTTGATCACATTACCATCAAAAGAGTAGTATATTTTAGGAAAACAATTAGAATTTAACATCTCAAAGACATTTCAAATCTTTTAAGCCTCTTATCATCATTTATTCCAGCAATGCTACTTTTGCCAACTTCACCTCCGAACTTGTGGCCCACTAAAACGAAGTTCCTAACCTACTACAGAAACCCAAAGGTGAGAAGTGATAATAGAGCATTCTACCTCTCACCACTCTACCCTCTAATGAAGTTCACTCTATCAGTTCCACTAAAAACCCAACTTCTACTAATTATAGTAAAAGAGAAGAAACAAGAAACAAGAGGATACAAGGCCTAAAAAAATAACAAAAACAAGAAAAAAACTACACACACCCAAGAAGAGGAACCAGGAACACAAACATAAATCCACCAAGGGAATGTACTAGGAAATTTGTGTTTTCCAATACCTCATCAGCAGTCAAATTAGGTAATCTCAAGAACCAGGAGGAAAATCAGGTGCTAAACCGAGAAGCCAGTAATCCAGCCTCATAAATGAAGTGATGCAATCTTTAAGGCCGGATAGTGGCCCATTCAAAGATGATCCAAGAATCTATCTCCATTAATATCCTCCCTAGACCCAAAGGACCATGAATTCTCAACCTCTGTAGAAAACTAAGATTCAAGCCCTTGCTAAATCACTAGTTCACTAAGCCTCCTACATAAGATATCTACAACAAAGACCATCATTACCCAGTTCTTAAATGAGAATGTTCCCAGGCCTATCTAAAAGGAAAATAGCATTGTCAATTTTGAAATCCCTCATAACTCCTTCCCAAGCCAATTCCAAGAAGATCAGAAGCAGCAGTTAACATGCAAGACCTCAAAAGGTGGATATAGGGCAGTCCAGGAAATAATCTCTAATAACAAGGGACTCCCCACCAAAGATCATTCTAAAAAATCTTACCTTATAGCACATGACACTAATCCAAGAAGGAGATACAAACACTGTTATAAAGAAAACTAATGAACCAAAAGAGATGCAAAATGAAATATCATTTGAGTTACAATTTATACTTAGATGCAAATCATGTATCCTCAAAGCTCAAGCCCAAGTATAAAACCAAGAACATGAAAAATACCTCCTCTGTAATAAGTCTGGCTACCCCATCAGGATCTGCATCTTTGCAAAGTGCCTCCATTACCTCAACTAAGGCCCTTAAAGTGGCAAACACTCTTTTCATTTCCACAGACCTTAGTTCCAACCTGAAACAAGAAGTAAAATCTAGATCAGTTATTACCTTCCTAAAAATTTGTTATCTTTCTTATGTCTGCCAAAGCAAATACACAGAGAGAGAAGCTGAACATACTCCCCAAAGTTGGCACTGAATGTTCCAGATTCCCTCCGTTTCTGCTCCTCTCTTTGGATAGCATCCACCCTATGTCGTTTCTTATAGAGTTGGTAAAATTCCCACAGGCGCTCAAGATCACGATTACGATCAATTCTTGCTCCACCTCTCTTGGCAAGTTTTTGCTGTCATATCCAACAAATAGTTAAACCAAAAGATAATCAATCCAACAGATAGAAAAATATAAAAGTAGTGAAAAAAGAAAGCTAATTGGATTCACAATTTAGCTGAAAATTTATAGACACTACCAACAAACTTGCATAGAGACATTGTGCCACTCAAATGTCAAACTTGCAGTAATACCTTAATTACGGACATTAAACCAGTTTTGAACTGTAGTACACCTCTACCCTCACTGTTTGGATCAAGGTTCTGTGCCATTGAATATGCTTGCTCGCACACTAAACACCAAATGAAAGATTTTGTTTGAATTATAACCATGAAAGTAATAAGAAGCAAAAAAAATCAAATAAAAGAAAGAGCTTTCACACCAAAAACATAAAGGAAAATGGCACGAACCCCACTACCTTCGCTGAGAGATATGAACCAATATTTTTTTTGATAAGTAGATATGAACCAATAATAAGCATAACTTTTTGTAACATGCAGGACAGATACACAAGTAAAAGATTGAATCCAAGTAAAAGTTCATAATGGACCTAGATCATACTAAAGAGAAGACATAATCAAGGATCAAAATATGTATCGTATCAGCAGGTCACCAGTACTCTAAATAAGGGTCTTTTGGGGTTTTAACCAATTTCAGGGATAGGCAGGCCTAAGACTAACCCCCCTGGCCAATTTTGACCAAAAATAAAGTATTGTCGGTTGAACTGTCAAACACCTAATACACAGAATCGTGGACTTCAGGTGTATCGATACTTTGTACCTTAAGCATAATTAACAATCGAACACTGACCAAGTCAGATCCAGAGTGTCAGTGTTAACTTGCTCAGTAGTTCTTCATCAGTCATTTCTTCTCTCCTTTCTTGGCCTCCTAGTTCTTTCAACAACAGTATTGTCTTTTCGTGCAACATCATTCCCAATGCAATATGTTGGAATATTAGGATGAAAGAAATAGTAGGATCTTTGACAGAAAGCAAAAGACTTTTATGCACCTTTATGTGGATTCTTGCAACTTCATGATGGATTTAGCTTTGACATTAAGGCTGTGTTTGGTTGCAATGCAAATAAATTTGTACTGATATAAAACTATGACAGTGCAAATGATTTGAGTGTAATTCTGATATATTTTTGTTTCAAATTTTAGCTTATTTTGTTTGATTGCAGTACATGAAGTAAATTAAGACATGAAGCTGAATAAAGTAAAACCCAAAAATAAAATTGAACGACAATTTACATTTTTTTTCATTTGTACTCCCATGCATTTGTACTAGTGCAAATAAAACTGTACTGCAACCAAACACAGCCTAAGGGATTTAGCACATTTAAGATGATATATTTTGTCTTCGGTTGGAATGCAATCTTGAGAGTAGAGAGTCATAGTTTTCAAGGCGCCAAGGCAAGGCTAGGTGACTGGTGGCGCCTTATCGCCTAGGCGATGGATTTTTTTATGTTAAAAGCATAGATCCTAGGGTAGTTCCCTAGGCACCATAACCATATTTCTTTAATAATTTTTCATGATTTTCATAAGAAAAGTATAAATTTCATATTAAAGTATAGAAAAATCAACATATTCATGAAAAGAAAAGGAAGAAGGAAAATAAAATTCAAAAAATATAGGGGCTGAACCCTTATTTTTTTATAGGAAAAGAAGAAAATAAAAAGTATTGGTAGTAGTAGTAGTAGTAGTAGAAGAAGAAGAATGTAGAGAAGATGGGCCGAATGGACCATAGGCTGTTTATCCTTCTTTATTTTTTATGTTCTTTGTTGTAATGGGCCTTAATCTGGGCTTTATTCTTTCTTGCTTATGTTTTTTAATTTTCTGCCCAACTAGGGGCCTCTCTGTAAATTATTAAAGTTTAACTTAATGAAATGGAATTACGGATGTAAGAGAGAAGGTTATGTCTTCTTTTGATTTTCTGCAACTTTTTAAACAGTCCTTTCTTTTCAAAAGGCTGTTTTTCTTCTTGGTATCAGAGTAGGCTCGACTTTTCACTCTTTTCACCTCTTTTTTCCCATGCACAATGTGTATGGAGAACTGAATCGAATGAATAGTTAAAGGAACCTATTTCAGCCCAGTTGTTACTAGTTTCTAGAGAGAAGGGGACTGGTTTTGTCTTCTTCCTGACAAATTCAAGTGTGTTGCCCGAAACCCTAATTTTCTGGAGAAATCTAATTGCGGGCCCCATAGGGAGTTTGACCTAAGCGCTCAGTGACTGAAGGTCTTCTCATCCTTCATCTTGAAGATCAAATCAACTGGATTGGTGTTCTGTGAAGTCTACAAGGAGCAGTTGAGATTTCTCTGTTTCTCCCGGCTTTCGGGTGTGACACAAGTACCTGGTACGACTGCATAGAGGTTGGCTCACAACACAGTTTTTGTTCTGTCTTCATTTGTCGTTATTCGAAGTTGTTAGAAGTTATTTTCGAAGTATTTAAGAAGATGAACCCTTCAAAAGTTGAAAACAAGCATGTTACTAAATCCAGACAGGTTCCAGGAGCCTCTGTAGACTCTCTAATGGCTGTGACCACAGTCAAGCTGGATGGAACTAATTATCTGGCTTGGTCACAACCAGTCAAAATTCATATCTGCAGTAGAGGCAAATGGGGCTTTATCTCCGGGAGCAAGAAGGCTCCTTCGAAAGATGATCCATCATATGAAAAATGGATGCAAGAAAATTATACTGTTATTGAATGGCTTGTGTAACTCAATGCAACCGCAGATTAGTCAACACTATTTGTGGATGAATTCAGCAAAGGAAATTTGGGATAGTGTTGTTGAAACCTATTCCCAGAAATTAAATGTGGCCAGGGTTTACAAGCTGAGAAATGATGTGAAAATTTTGAAACAGGGGGAAAAACCATTAGCTGTATATTTCTCAATATTGAAGTCTTTATGGCAAGAAATTGATTTGATAGAAGCTATAACCTGAGACACCACTAATGATGTTGAGACCTACAAGAAACTGGTTGAGAGAAACAAGGTGTTTAAGTTTTTGACAGGGCTGAATCCAGAGTATGACATTACAAAACAAAGAATTTTATCCAAGGATAGTGTTTCACTGTCTCAAGCCTATGCCTTGGTAAATAGTGAAGAAAGCAGGAGACTTGTCCAGGTCCAAGGGGTTGGTCTAAATGATCACTTTGCTAATATGAGAGTGAAACCCAAGGGAGCTACAGGGACCCTAAGTAGCTCAGGGAAGAAAGAAATTATTTGTGAGTACTGTAAGAAGTAATAAGCCAAAACACACTAACGACAAGTGTTGGAAATTGCATATTGAGCTTCTTCCTCTTCGGTTTCAAAAGAATTCCGATAATATGAAGGCAGGGAGTGCCAATATTGTTGTTGGTCCAGATAGTGACAGATACCAAACTAAAGAGATTGACTGCTAGTGAGCAGCTAGCAGCTATGAAAGCAGAATATGAGAAGTTTGGGAGGATGATCATTCACCTAGAGGGTGTGGCCTCTTTTTCCAACCCTCCAAGAAATTCAACATCTTCTACATTTGCTCATTCAGGTATGCAGGCTTCTACCAATCATGCAACTATTTCAGGTAATCGTAGGATCCCTTAGATTATTGATTCTGGTGCTTCTAATCATATGACCAGCCTTTCCACTTTGTTTCATATAATTTACTTCCTGGCCGTGACAAAATCACCCTAACAGATGGCTCTCTTGCCCCTATCTCCGACAAGGGAACCATCAAGGCTACAGATTCTTTGGTAGTTCCTTCTACTCTTCATGTACCCAAGCTAAATACAAATTTGTTATCTGTAAGTAGCCTAACCAAGTCATTGAACTGTTGTGTTAACTTCTTTCCTTCCTACTATGTTTTTCAGGATCTGGAGTCTCAGAAAGTGATTGGGAATGGTCATGAGGTGAATGGAATATATCTGTTGGACACTCATGGACAGAGAAAAGTTGCTTTTGGGTCTACATCTACAAAATCCATCAGTCGAGTCATGTTATGTCATTTTCGTTTGGGTCATCTTTCTTTTTCTGCATTAAGTCATTTATTCCCAGAACTGTTTAAGGGAATTAGTCTGTCCAGTCTTCATTGTGAGTCGTGTGAATTGTCAAAACATTGTAGAAGCAGTTATCCTTTAAGTAATAAAAGATCTTCTCATTTTCATATTGTGCACTCTGATGTGTGGGGGCCTTACCACTTACCYTCTATGGGTGGTTACAAATATTTTATCTTGTTCATTGATGACTTTTTTCGGTTCACTTGGATATTTTTTATGAAGTCCCGTGATGAAGTTCCTAAACTTGTGAGGCAATTCCAAGAATCTGTCATAACTCAGTTTGATACCTGAATTAAAATTTTCAGATCCGACAATGCAAAAGAATATTTTGAGAAAAACCTGCCCTGCTATCTCATTGATTTGGGGGTTATTCACCAAAGCTCTTGTATTAGAACCCCATAACAGAATGGAGTTGCTGAAAGAAAAAATCGGCATATTGTTGAAGTTGCAAGAAGTATTATATTTGCCTCACATGTCCCTACAAAATTTTGGGGTGATGTTGTTCTCACTACAACCTACATAATCAACCGTATGCCATCCAGGGTTTTGGGGTTTAAGTCTCCCTTTAGTCTTCTTCATTCGGGCAAGGATCTTTTTCCTATTCCTCTTCGTGCCTTTAGCTGCACTTGTTATGTACATATCCGAAGTGTCCAGAGACATAAATTTGAACCAAAAGCCCATAAGTGTATCTTCCTTGGTTATTCCCCCATACAAAAGGGTTACTGTTGTTTTAATCCTAAGACTGACACTCGATATGTCTCAATGGATGTCACCTTTGATGAGTTATCTTCCTATTGAGATTCTTCTCAGGAGAGGCATTGTCCAAAAGGGGAGAATTTGTCACAGTTATTTGCTCTTCCCCTTCCTGTCCCAGTTGAATCTTCTGTTGAGACTCTTCCTCCTTCAAATGAGTTAAGGGAGGATCAGTCATTTCATTCCCATTCCAGCGTTCCTATCCCTCCTCCTTTACCTCCTCGTCTTCTTTTTAATCCCAAGTTGTACCAATGGCAGAGAACCAAAAATGAGCAGATTGTTTCCCCTACAACACATGAGCCTCCGGCACTTCCAGTCACAGAAGAAACAACAGGTATTGATACAGCCCCTTTGGAGTCATCCTTCCCAAACCTTAATATCCCCATTGCTATTAGGAAAGAAAAAAAGAAGTGTACTGCACATTGCATTTCCAAACACCTTTCTTATAGTTTGCTCTCTCCTTCATATTTTGCCTACCTTTCTTCTGTTGCTTTTAACCCAA